TAATCTAATGTGGAAAGGAGTTTAAAAAAAAAAGTGAGTTGTGCGTAGTCCTCTTCCCCAGGCAGCTAGGAAATTGCTCGTCTGTCTGAAAGAAGGTAGCTGTTTTCCTTAGAGGACTGTGGTGAGCATCAGATGAGATAATACATGTGAAAGGCAAAGAGCTGTAAAAATGCAAGAGACAATTTCGAATCCTTCAACCTGTTTATCTGTGTGCGTGTGTAAGATGTACCGTCAGGTATGGACCAGCGGGATGGGACCAGGTGTGGGATTATGGGATGTGCCCAGTAACGCAGAGGGTGTGTAAAGATACTTTAGGGGGGCCCAGTGACACTGTAATCTATAGTAACAGCTCTGTGTCGCTTAGGTTCATTTTATCTGGTTAATGGATTACTCCCCTTTTGCTTCTCTACCACGTATCTTTTGACCTTTTTGCAACCAAAGACTTTTACCCAGAAATGAGCCTGAAGAGGAAAACACCAGTCACCTTGGGGGCATATTGATTACATTTGGCTGAGAAGGAGGTTTATGTGATTGTATTGATGATTTCAATTTGTCTTGCCCTCGGCACGAAACGTCATGTTGTACAAAGAGTTGTGGGCTGAGGAACACCCAGGGAAGACCTAGCTCTGGATTTGACTCTTCAGTAGAGGGGTCACCCTGGCCAAGTTCCAGTACCTCTCTGATCCTTAGTTTCTGTCAGATGGGAAAAGACCTTTAAGGTCATTGGTGCATTCTTCCAGAGCTTGCATACCTGCCACAGGGTTACCCAGCCCCTAGTGACGGGGATCTTGCCATGTCCCAAAATGGCTGAGCCACTCAGTCTCTCCAGACAGACCTGACTGTTGGAAAATTCTTTATGTTGAATCGACATCTGTTTCTCTACAATTTGCACTCATTGGAGCCATACAGAATAAAATGTCTAATGCTGCTTCCACAAATATTTGAGGACTGCTAACACATTTCCTTCTTCCACTTACTCCACAAGGCTTCTTTTCTTCCAACTAAACATGCCCAGTTATTTTAAACAGGGAGGCAGTGTGGGGTATTGGAAAGAACGCCAGCTTCGGAGCCAGACACATCTGTGTTCAGTTCCCAGTCCTTTACATACTAACACTCGATGCTCTGAGCTGCTGTATCTTTCTCTGCAAAATGTGGATGAAAATAGTCCTCTCGCTGAGTTATTGTAAGGATTAGGGATAAATTGGTGAAGATCCATGCTTAAAATATGAGAGCGGTTATACCTTCAGTGACATAATTTGCAATGCATTTTAGGTGAGCTCTGAACAAATTCCTGTTTAGGTGTCTCCTAAATTGCTTTGTAAAACAGAATAAAATACTTTCTCTGAAGTCTGACTAGCAAAATAGAGTAGGATTAATTTATTCCCGGTGCTTCTCTGATGACATTCTGCAATCTACAATGGCATTTTTGGAGCCATATCACATTGACTCACTGTCACCTAAAGCCCTAAGTCTCTAACACGTGCTGCTGTTCAACCAAATTTCTCCCATGTTGAACTTCTTCCATTTATTTGAGTCGATAATTATAGATGGCTCTTCAAAGTGGCAGTCCCAGTTCTGTCTCATTGTCTTCAGAAATATCCTTGTGCTTGTCATAGTGTGGGTCTCAGACCGGGGTTAGAAAAATACGATTATTGAACGTAGGGTACGAGCCCCGCTGATCTCATACCGCTGTTGTACAATGAATGCTGAGCTTTCGACACTAAGTTTTGCAAAATCCGAGGTCTTATTATGTGGGACCATCTTAGAATTGGAATGTGACAGGAGTGTCTGATAAGCTGCTGGTTGAGGGAATGCGCTGCATGGGATGTCAGTGGAGTGTGGTGTCTGTATTCAAGAACTGAAAGTGTACTGAGAGCAAACCGGAGGCAGACTTTGGATTTATGTATGGTTACATGTTATCTCAGGCACTTGGACTGTTTTATACCTTGGGCTAGATTCTCCCTGGTGGAGGAAGCTTCTTTCTGGAAGTAAGGCAGGCACATTTAAGAAATTCATTAACCCCTTGGCTCCTGGGGCCTTGTTGCTAGCATTTTCTCCCTCGACTTTGGAAAGCAAATTCCCGGCTTTAGCGAAGCCGACCTCTCCTAGTATCCTCTGCATTGTTCAGACTACTTTGCCTCTGCACTGGAGGGTCTTCTGCATCCTCTGCACTGGAGGGTCTTCCGAACAGGAATGTTTTCTTCACCTAAGCTAGTTCCGGGTTTGAAGTCCTCAGCCCTAGATTCCTCCTTCTCCAATGAAGTTTTTCCTAGCCACTCTGTTTCTCTTGAGCACCCGACTCAGAATTCCTGTTGTCTTCAAGAGCTTCCTTGGTCCCCTCTCTATCCCTCCCCCCAGCAGTTTCTCGTCACTGCCCACTTGTTCTGTGGCTTTCAGAATAAGATCCTTTGTAAGCGCTCAGTCCATTAAATACAAAACTGCCTTCATCTTGGGTGCTGGTGCTCCTGGTGCGGTGAGAATGAAAGTGTGGAATCCGTAGGACTCATCGGTTCCATTGACAACAAATACGAAAAAAAAATAATGCAAAGATTGTTATTGTTGTCTTAATTAAAATGGGAAAACCTGTACTCCGTTGAGCGGACTGATTTAAATTTTACTAAGTAATTAATTCAGTCTTTAAAAGGTGGTAGTTAGGGGCGCCCGGGTGGCTCAGTCGTTAAGCGTCTGCCTTCGGCTCAGGTCATGATCCCAGGGTCCTGGGATCGAGCCCCGCATCGGGCTCCCTGCTCCACAGGAAGCCTGCTTCTCCCTCTCCCACTCCCCCTGCTTGTGCTCTCTTTCTCGCCGTGTCTCTCTCTCAAATAAATAAATAAAATCTTAAAAAAAATTAAAAGGTGGTAGTTAAAACAGGTAATCTTCTGTTAAAGGGAGTAATTTATATTTTGGTAAGTAACCAATTAAGTCCATAAAGGGTCTACATCCATCTGTGGCTTCTCACTTTCTTTAGGACAAATTCCAAACTCCTTAGGATGAAATACGCATTGTAGCCTAATTTTTTGCCCGTCCTCGTGGACCCAAAGGACTTGCAGTTTTCCCCAGAGGTTGTGCAGTCCTGCGCCTCCGTGCTTTGCAATTGCCGTCCCCTCTGGTTGGAATGTTCTTTGTCTTTCCGGTAAATGTCTATTCATCATTCAAGACAACCCTCCCCCCTCCCCTTAATTACTTCCTCCCCTGTGCGCCCTCAGATTCTTGTACTTATTCATGCAGTATTTATTAGGGGCCTGCTTTGTGGCTGGCACTGTGGCGGGCTCTGGAGATACAAAAGGTGAATAATACTTGGGCTCGGCCTTTGAGGGCCTTACGTGTTAGGGGGAGGGGGCCAACCTGTCACAGAATGTTGCCAGGAAATTAAAGGGAAAATATAAGCAGCTTCAGTTCTTGTCTGTCTTCCCCACCGGATGGTCAACATCTTGTTCTGGGGCAGGGGCCATTTCTCATTCATCTTCGTATCCCCTGCTTTTAGCTCATTGTAGATGCTAAAAAAAAAAAGCGTTCGTTCATCGGACACCAGAAGTGTACCCTGGATTGTGCCACACGTTTTGATGATAGCTCATAAGTGGTGGTTTCTCCTGTGCCTGGTTGGTGGCCCTTGCCTCCCAGTGCACTGTTAGGTGCTGGGTGGCCTTGGGTCTGCTCGGATGGTCTGGCCTTTTGCGATTCGTGCTTGCCTGCGCTCTGGGCTGCGGCGGAATGGCCCCGGGCTGGCGGGCGTGAGTGGAAGGAGAGGCTTGCAGCGCCCCCGCTGGAGGGAGCCGGCACTGCTTGGGCTGCCTGGCTCGCTCGCATCGCTCGCATCCCGCGCGCGCCTTCGTCAGAGTTTTAAGTTTATAGTCAGAATATGAACATAGGCACTGTGATTCTCTACACTTTTCTTTTCAGAGGCATAATATATGCCTTTCAAAGGATTATAGGTGAAGAAGAAAATTCCTTCCCTCTTTCCTGTACCGCTGCGGCCTTGCATTGTGATTCCATCGTACATCTAAAAAAGGGGGAGTTTTAGTCTCATAATTGTGAAGATCATTATTTCTGGCGCAGTACAGGCCCTCTGCTGGGAGCGGGTGCTGCGAGAGGGCTGCGGCGGGGCTCTGGCATGCGGGCCACGTAGTGCTGCTGCAAAGGAAACGTGCCTGGCGCCGTGGCCATGGCAGTGGTTGAGAGAGAGAACCCAGACTTTTCCCCAAGTTTTGCCCTTCTTGCTTCCTAACCACTGTCCCCCGAATCAGCCGATGAGATAGGTAGTAGGCCCAGCAGAGCTTATCGTTCCCTAACCATTTGGTTGTGTCCTTTCTGCTTACCCATAGTTAGGGACCTAGGAGGGGTTGGGCACTTGAGGACCGCTGCTTTGGTCTGGGTACTCGCGTAGTTCAGAACCTATGCCTCGGGCATGGTGCAGACTGAGAGCAGGTACCACAGTTGGCCGCCCCGAGCCCCACTGCACCTGAGGTCGAGTGGCCACCTCGGGGTTGGGGGGACTGTGGGTGGTGGTCTGTGGTTGGGGGTGTGTGTTGGGATTTCGGGATCTGTGGTCGTCTTTTCCAGCGGCGTAAACTCAGCAGAGGAGGATTTCTGCTGCGGAACCTGGAGCTCAGGGTTGGGGGGCCTGTGAGAGAGCAGCGGGGTGCTGGCGGGGGTCGACAGCCCTAAAGGTGCCCCCTAGAGGAGCTGCTGTGAGAGGATGCTCCATCCCTGCTGCGGCGGCAGGGCTGCGGGGAGGGGCTGTGGGGAGGGGCGGTGGCCGTGGCGGGAGGGGCACTGCGGCGCGGTGGGCGGGCCAGGGGCGGGGCGCGGGTGGGCTCTAAAAGTCGGTGCCCACTCGCTCGGCACTGTCGCGGCAACCAGCACATCTCGGTGCTTCCTCTGCGGCAGCCGCACCTCGCGCAGTGCCGCAGCGCACGCCCGGGTGGCTGCTCGCTGCTTGCCGCGGCCGGCGCCGCCCTCGCAGGCTGTAGGCTGTGCCCGGCTGCCGGCCGGCCTGCCCTGCTGCGGGCGCTGCGGCGCGCGGTGCTCCAAACCCGTGTGCCGGGCGGCATGGGATAAGACGCGGCCATGGTACGCCGAGATCGCCTCCGCAGGTGGGTGCACGCGGCAGGCGCGAGGGGGTGTGGCTGGCTCCAAGCCGGCGTCCCGGAGAGGGTGCAGCCTAGCTGGTGGGGACTCTGCGTGTCCGTGCCATAGGTGTGACTAGAACTGCCAGACTGTGACTCCCGCAGTGGAGGGAAAACCCCCACCCGGGGTTTGGGGGGGGGGGGGACGCACCTGCCTGTCCTCTGATTCCTGTCTGCCTACTTGGGAGGGAATGTCACTCCTGGCACGCAGTAGGATTTTGAGCTGGAGATCTCCCAGATTTGGTATTTCTGTACCCTGGTATCGCTCTGATGCGATTTAGGATTTTTAGACCCCAGCGTCGCCGTGGCGCAATTTAGGATTTTTAGACCCTGGCGTCACCCTGGCGCGACTTAGGATTTCTAGACCCTGGCGTCACCCTAGCGCGATTTAAGATTTCTAGATCTCGGCTTCGCCCTAGTGAGACTTAGGATTTCTAGACCGCGGCTTCGCCCTGGCGCGATTTAGGATTTCTAGACTGTGGCTTCGCCCTGGTGCGATTTAGGATTTCTAGCCCGCGGCTTCGCCCTGGCGCGATTTAGGACTTCTAGACTGCGGCGTTGCCCTGGTACAATTTAGGATATTTAGACTCTGTCTTCGCCCTGGCACAATTTGGAATTTTTAGACCCCCGGCATCGCCCTGGCGCGATTTGGGATTTTTAGACCCCGGCATCGCCCTGGCGCGATTTAGGATATCTAGACCTTGATATCGCTCAGATGCGATTTAGGATTTTTAGACCCGGCATTGCTCAGGCACGATTTAGAATTTCTAGACCCCAGTGACGCCTTGGCGTGATTTAGGGTTTTTAGACCCTGGCATTGTCCTGGCGTGATTTTGAATTTCTAGACCCCTGCATCATCTTGGCATGATTTAGAATTTCGAGGCCCTGGTATTGCTGTGGCACGATTTAGGATTTCTAGACTCCGGTATCACTGTGGCGCGATTTAGGATTTGAAGACCCTGGTATTGCTGTGGTGTGAGTTAACTGCATAGGTGTGACTAGAACTTGCAGTACCATATCACCGAGGTGTAAGTATTTTCCAGATTTCTGTAATGAGAAGCTAAGTGAGAATGATGATGTGATCAAACTGTCATAATGTTACACATGAATTGTTTGCATTGGTTTACAAAGTAGTTCACAGCTTCACCGCGATGCTGGAAGGTGGCAGGTTTGGTGGTATTAAATGTATTTTTTTCCTCTTTACAAGACGAAGAATTCAAGGCTCGGAAGGGTTGATTAATTTCCAGAAGGTTTGTTACCTGGGTTTGCTGAATTTATACTCTTGACTTGTGGCTCATCAAGTAATGGAAATTTTGGTCAAAAAATGATTAATCCCATTTGGCTACTGACTGCCAGATTGCTTCGCTACTAAAAATCCTAAAATGTCGTTAAGGGCATTTTTACCGAGTAATTAAACCAGAAAAAGGCTTCCTGAAAGGTTGCCTCTTTTCTTTCTTGGAGTGAAAAAGAAGGAAGGTATAGAGGGTGGGGGTGTCCATGAGTGGAAAATGCACAGTCGTTGCCCCCCGAGGCTCCTCCCCCCCTCCTCCCTCCACCCCCTCCACCTCAGCCTACCCCACCCCCCTCCACCCCCACCCCCCCTTTACCGCACCCCCACCCCCTCTTTACCCCACCCCCCTGCACCCGAGCCCCCTTGCAGGGAGCCTCCTTCTGCTTGTTCCTCTAGTACGCCCCTCCCTGGCTCTCTGCTGAGTCATTGCGGATATTCGTCCGCTGGAACCCCTGAATGAATGAGATGAGGAGTGGGGCGGGGGTTCGGGGGGTGGGGTGGGTGGGAAGGAGTGATGAAATGTGAACGTGCAAACGTAGGAGCTGAAGTACGGGACAGATGATAACTAATGATACACAAACATACTTTTTGTCATCTCATTTTTCAAGTAGATACTGGGATGTAGCCTGCTGCTATTGTGGGGTAAAAATGGTGATATGATGATTGGGGGCATTTTTGGGGAATCATTTATAATGTTGAAAGATACAACCGAATCATTGGGTCTGTTTTCTGGACAGCTACTAAGGAGGAAGAAAAAAAAAAAAAAGACTGCCCTAGTGATGCCAAAAAAAAAAAAAAAAGAGAGGAGCTGCTCAGTCTTTAAGGCACGTGGTGATTTGGCCCCTGTGGGACCACAGCCTTATTTGTTTTAGAGTTAAAAAAAAAAAAAAAAGGGATTTTGTGAGTTGGATTAGTTTGTGATGGATAGGGATTGTGGCCAGATTACAGGCAAGATGGTGGAAGGGTGTGTGTACACACAGAGCCTTTTCTGCCAGGGCTTTAACAATTCATTTCCCTAATTTATAGCTCTATTTTCTTGACAACTCTTATTTTCGTTTTAGAAGGTATTTCCATTCTGGTTATTTTAGAGAACTTGCATTCTACTGATAATTCTTTTCCTGGTGACTATTAGCAGTCATAAACTAGAAACAGAAGGAACTGTGTCTAATTCCTATTTAGCACTCCTCATTGTGAGTAGACTGACTTGGACCTTTGAAGGTTGGGTGTGCAAACCAGTGCTTTCCTTCCAAAGACAAAAGCGATTTTCAGATGTTGACTATGAGCTCTGCCTCATTTTTTTGAGGGGTGTGCAGGGTGGGTAGCAATCCTAAGAAATTAAATAAATGGGAGCTGCCTCAAGAGTCTAAGAAAAGCAGAAATATAATCTGCTGCCCTGACCTCTCAAGAGATTAGATCTTGTGGGTCCTGACAAAGCTGCTTATGGTGGAAAACACAGTGTACCTAGCTTCTTACTTCCGCGGACTGTTTACCTGGAGCAGTTTCTCAGCACAGATCCGGGGAGTAGTACCAAGTGGGGCTTCACTGGGGTCAGAGAGTTGAGAAGTATTAAAAAATCAAAAACAGCTCTCTGCTTAAGGATATGTGATGCTTTTCTAAACATTAGTAAAAGAAAAAAAACTACATATATGTATCTTTCTCTATATTTAACATTTTACTGGTGAGGGCTGGTGGGTGGGTGGTAGAGCTTTTAGAATAAATATGAAGGAAATCATTTTTTTCTGGGGAAGCTTTGATAAAAGCCAATGAAAAGGTGCACAATACTTAACTTCCTTTTACTTTACATAAAAACCTCTTCAGGTTTTAGGAAAACCACAGTGGCGGGGGGCGGGGTGCCGAGGGATTAAAGTGGGAAGGAGAGAGGGAAGATTACATATTAAAATAATATATTTTTTCCTTAAAATTAGAATGGTGCATAGATACGGCGATTGGAAAGCAGGGAGAGGTGTGCTTACGTTCTTCTTGGTAAACTTTCTGCCATGGTTCACATGGAGGGCAAGGTAGTCCCCGCATGGCACAGAAATTTCCCGCCCCATCTGACCGATTTGGGGCTTGTAAAAGCGCGCAGCGTCATCCGACTGCTTACCCCAGGTCTCTGATTTTCTTTACAGGATGAGGGAGTGGTGGGTTCAGGTGGGGCTGTTGGCTGTGCCCCTGCTGGCGGCCTATCTGCATATCCCCCCTCCCCAGCTTTCTCCTGCTCTTCACTCATGGAAATCGTCAGGCAAATTTTTCACCTACAAGGGCCTGCGCATCTTCTACCAAGGTAAGAACAGGACTGCTGGAGCGCCCCGCACGTATAATAGGCTCCGGGGGTCCCACCAAGCTACTCATTTTGGGTCTGTTACTGGTTTCTTTTGCCCCTCAGTGAGGGAGGGGGGAAAAACCCCTTTTTCTGTGTAGTGTGCTTGAAGGAATGGGTTAATTCCCCTCAATAACTCCATAGCAGGGAAACTCAAAGAAAACTGTTGGGGGTGGGGGGCGATGGAATTGAGATTCCGATTTCTGTAGAACTGACTTTTCCGTGTAATTTTTCCTCATAACCTCATTTGGATTGATAGATACCAGTTTTCTCTTTTGGGCGCCCCTAGTGTTCAGTAGATAGCCCTACCACGGGTTCTAGTTCCCTCCATCCCTGATTTCATTTTATTTTCTGGAAAGATGGTTTGTTATATGCATAACTAAATGTGATTTAAGCCTTATACCTTTGTATAGATTAATTTGCTAATGATTATTATGACTGCTACTTATCAAGTAATTACCATATGCTAGTCACTGAATTATGTTCTCAACCTTTGTTATTATCTTTAAGATTAACTATCTTTACAACAGTACTTGGAGATGGATGCCATTAACCCCATTTTATAGGTAAAGAAACTGAAACGAGATTGGAAAAGCTATCTTTTGGGCGGGGGTCAAGAGCAATAACGAAAAATGTTTGTCATAAACCGTTTTTCATTATTGCTCCTGACCTCCTCTCATTTGCGATATTCAAACTAAGTAAGTATATACTTTTCTTTATATTGGTCATTTGGTTGTTTCTAGTTTTTCAATGTTTTAAATAGTTAATGTTGAAGGGAAATCTTCATGTATATGTTTATTTTTTCCATATATTTTCAAACTATACTACTTGTAAGTAGAATGATTTTATTTGCATGGGTTCTCAAGAATAAGTATATTTTTAAATTGCTTCTAATTAAATTATTTTTGTAAACCTTATCAAATCTCATGCCACTGGCAGGATGTATGAATGTGTCACTTTTAATCTAATACTTTAAAAGCAAGGCATTTTACTGTTTATTTTTTTTTAAAGATTTTATTTATTTGACACAGAGAGATAGCGAGAGAGAGAGCGAGAGAGAGAGAGAGAGAGCGAGCACATGCAGGGGGAACGGCAGGCAGAGGGGAGAAGCAGGCTTCCTACATGAGCAGGGAGCCCGATGTGGGGCTCGATCCCAGGACTCTGGAATCATGACCTGAGCTGAAGGCAGCGGTTTAACCAACTGAGCCACCCAGGCGCCCCGGCATTTTACTGTTTAAATGTTTGGCTAATTTAAAAGATGTTTCTGCATTAAAAAATGTGCATGTCAGTATTGCTTAATCCTTTTTTATACTTGATAGAATTGTTAATAGTTTGAGCATTATGCTTTTGATACTGGATTGGCTCTTCCGTAGGAGAAATAAAAGTGCTGGACAGACAAGACAAACTAAGGTGTCCATCAGGTTGAGGAAGAGTTGCTATCTTTTAGAATATTTTTGTGAGGCCCTTAATGATAAGGTAGAGGATCTGCAGTGTTTATGTTGTGATTGTGTACTTTTAACTGCGCAAGTTTACTTTTACTGTGGAAAAACAATTTACATATTGATAATACAGAATAAAGGAAGAAATGGAGAAGTACTTTAAAAAAATATAGGTGAAATGAAGCAGACAGCCTTCCAGTATTTTCATATAAAGTGTGCTGTTTACAAGTCTTTAATATATAAAAGAAAATAATCAAATGTCTGTTTTTACCTAAAGCAGTAAGCTTCCATTTTAAAAAGGAATTTGTTATTTTTATTTCATTAATTTAGGCAGGGTTTCTTGTTCTTTATACCAGGTTACTTCGATTTTAATATTTCCAAGGTTATTGTTATAAGCAGTCAGCCTAACTGATTTCTTTCCTTCTTCCCAGACTCTGTGGGTGTGGTTGGAAGTCCTGAGATCGTTGTGCTGTTACATGGCTTTCCAACATCCAGCTATGATTGGTACAAGGTAATGAAATCAAATTTCTAGATCCTACTGTGTCTTTAAAAATCCAAAATCAAGGATTTTGTTGTCAGCACTGGAAGGTTCTTACGTATTTGAATTGCCTAATAAAATAGGATTAAGTGTAGAACTGTCTCATTTACTGTAAGGGAGTAAAAACTCTGGTGATCTGGGAAGGATCATTGCCAAGTTTAAAGTGCTGGAGTTTTCCCCTCATGGAGATTAGGAGTAAACCAAGAGGATCATCTGTGGGCCCGTGGTAGTTGCATGAGATTTTCCCTTTATCGAAGTCTGTTTGTTAAGCCAAGATGGGAATGAAATTCCTGTGCTGTAGGTCGGAGGAGAGGAGGTGCAGGATCACAAAAGCCAGATCATCTCTTTCTTTCTTGTAGATTTGGGAAGGTCTGACCCTGAGGTTTCATCGAGTGATCGCCCTTGATTTTTTGGGCTTTGGCTTCAGTGACAAACCAGTAAGCAGCATCTAGATGGGACCAGTGATGGGTGGGGGAGGGGGCAGACCAGGACAGAGGGTCAGGCTGCAGACAGATCTGCACTCATGACTTCCTACTGTATATCTGGGCTTTCTTCTCCCTAGAGACCGCATCACTACTCCATATTTGAGCAGGCCAGCATCGTGGAGGCACTTTTGCGGCACCTGGGGCTCCAGAACCGCAGGATCAACCTTTTGTCTCATGATTACGGAGATATTGTTGCTCAGGAGCTGCTTTATAGGTCAGTGAGGTCATAGACTCTTCTGTACTATTCACGGGTCTTACTGGTTTAAGATGCTGGAAAAGTAAATTGTTCCTGGGTTCCTTCTAGCCCTTTTCCCTCTTGGGAGTTTGTCTTCAGCTGCTGAATTGGTGTATGTCCACTCAGATGTGTTTCCCTCACCTGTTTCTAGGTTCAAGCAGAATCGATCCGGTCGGCTTACTATAAAGAGTCTCTGTCTTTCAAATGGAGGTAATTGCCGTGGTGGTGGGTGGAAAGTGAAGTGTAGCTTTGAAGGGCCACAGGTAGATATCACCTTGACATCTAAATGGTAATCTGATGAGACTGCAGGCAGACACATTTAAACCAGAGGCCCTTGACCTTTTTGTGCCATGAACTACTTTGGTGGTCTAATGAGATTTATTGACCCTTTTTCAGAATAATGTTTTTAAATACAGAAAATAAAATGAATAGGATTATAAAAGAAATGGGTTATATTAACATACAGTTCATAAAAAGCTGTGTTGTGGTAATAAGTGCTTCTTTGTAAAAGCATTGCATAGCGAGGTCTATGGGTAGGTCTAGCGAGCACCGTGCTCGGGGTTGAGGAGCACAAGTGACAGTTTGCACTGTCTGCAGCATCTGCACTGGGTTATGCATATAGTTGTGATGAAGCCACGGGTGCTTCTGATACTCCTCTGGTTTGCTGGAGAAACTTAATTGGTAGCAGTGCCAAGTTTCAGGTAGAAATTAGTGAACCTCTGATTAGACCTTTTGGAGGAGTTTCTTTTTTGTGTGTGTGCCATGGAGCACAGCTTGTAAATCCGTGAATAATCCACACGTCCCCTGAATACCATAAGGGCAGGTTGGGACAGGAGTCTATCCCTTTATCAGCAATGCTCAGGGCTTTCTCCCATTGACCCTTAGAAAAATGGAAAAGGAAAAACTCTCGTTCCCCACCCCCCAACACACTCCGCCCAGGGACCTACCATCCCTGAAAAAAATCTGGTGGTTTCTTTTGCAGCCCAAACCATGAACAATACTAGGTGCTCTGAGGAATGGTTAGAAAGGCCAAGGGGAGTCAGGGCTTAGTCATCAGCATTATGGATGATCACGTACATTATCTTCCCCCGTTTCTCTACTCTTCCAATGGGGAGAGTAATCCCAGTGGGATAGAATTTGACCTGTTAAACACAGAATTCCTTGGAGAAGTAATTAGATGACAGAACTAAGTTTTATTTGTAATCCTGTTCCTGGCAGTGATGGCCCCCAAAGGTGACAGTAAATAGGGACAATAGTCTCCGATAATGGGCCTAAAGTTGTTGGTAAATGACTAACATAAGTCTCTTTTTCTCCTATAGGTATATTTCCTGAGACTCACCGTCCTCTCCTTCTCCAAAAGGTTGGCTACTCCAGTCACAAAATCTTTAGTTTTTAAGATTTATACCAACATAAATAATGCTAGGACCTATATAAGGGCCATACCTGCTGTAATGGGCCATAGTGAAAATCCTCTCCTCAGGAATTTACATGAATAAAGTTAGTTTTTTCCTTCTTATGCTGATAAAGCAATGGCAGCGGCCTCTAGGTAGAGCCTCATTTCTGAGAGTAAGAGATCAACAAATATTTGGAGAAACAGAGCTATCTAGAGATTTGTATCATTAGCATGATGGCTGAATAGATCAGATCCTAAAGTTGAATGCATCAGTTAGAAGCCTTAGGGATTTAGTGAAGTGTAGAAATGTAATCTTAAAGGGAATTACAAAGAGGTTTTGTCTTCCGTGAGAGAATAGGTAGGCAAAACAAAAAACGAAAAGCCAATAAACAAACATTTCGGTAGAAGGACATTTGACTAAAGTCCTTTTTTAGTTCCTAATAGAAAACTTTTGTCCTGGTTAGTGGTTTTCTTTCTCTCAGATCTTTACTTCTTTACCTACAGCTTCTCAAAGATGGAGGCATGTTGTCACCCATCCTCACTCGATTGATGAACTTCTTTGTATTCTCCCGAGGGTAAGTCATTGTCAAAGATTGATTTACTATAGCCTGGGAACAGTGTAGTGAAAAGTTGCCATTAAAATTCTGGGCCAAATCCTAGGGTTTGATACTTTAAAACGAAGATGTTGGCCACCTGCCAGGGAAGTAGTAGAAGGAATTCATAAATCAGTTAAGGGTCAGCCTGCGTGACCTGTGAGGTTCCAGTCATATTTGACATTCTGGATTCTTCTCACATGTGTCTTCCTGCTCTCTCGGGCTCTTTCAGTCTCACCCCAGTCTTTGGGCCGTACACCCGCCCCTCTGAGAGTGAGCTGTGGGACATGTGGGCAGGGATTCGCAACAATGACGGGAACTTAGTTATCGACAGGTAAGAAATAACACTTTGCTTTGGTTTCCAGAGAAGCTCTTTTTTGTTGGGGGGGGGGGCGGTGTGGAATGGGGAAAGGTAGAAGATTGCTTGTTTTGTTCCTTGCTGGCTTGTTCCCTCTCTCTCTGACCTGTGAGGCAAACCAAGAAGTCATGCACTGGTCTTTCTAAGAAGAAAGAAATTGAGAATAGAGAGCCATCAGCGTAAGGCACGTGGCACACAGTTTAGATAAACAGCTGCAGATTCTGATGCTAATTCTGTTTCTACCTGGCCAGTGACTTTGGCAAATCCTACTTTGGGCTTTTTGTGAATATTAAGTGCCTCAAAATGTCTAATCATGGTTGTGAAAGGAGCCTAGTACATGTCTTTTTTTCATGTCTTTTCTGTAGCAACAGTGACTGAGAAGGAGAGCTTTCCATCTTATACAAAGAATGCTCACGACTTGATCCAAATGAGAATGCAGCAGCTTTCGTTTTAGGATGCCTTTGCATTCCTAGAACAATAAAGATTTCTCGTTCTACTCTGGCTGACTTCTCTGTCCTATAGTCTCTTACAGTACATCAACCAGAGGAAGAAGTTTAGAAGACGCTGGGTGGGAGCTCTTGCTTCTGTAACTATTCCCAGTGAGTAGTTCTACTTTATATCTTGATAGGACTGAGGGACTATGGGTCTCAAGTAATTGCCAGATTTAGCAAATAAAAATGCGAGACATCCAGCTAAATTTGAATTTCAGATATATAACAAATACTTTTTTAGAATAAGTATGTGCTTTGCAATATTTTGACATATTTATGCTTAAAAAAATCATTACTTATATGAAATTCAAATTTAACTGGGCATCTTTTATTTAATCCGGAAGAGCGGTGACACGCGTTGTAGAGTGCCGCATCTGAAACAGCGGGATGCTGCTGCAGGGGTAGCTGGTTCCACTGTCAGGACTGGGGGCGGGACTGGCTTTTGCGCTGTGCGGCGTGCGTGGCTGCCACGTTACATGCTGAATTGCTGGGACAGAAGGCGGTCTAGATGACTAATCGAGAGGCTGTAGGTGGTTTCTGCTCATTTGTCTCTTCAATCTTATAGATTTAAAAAGAAAAAAAATCAGTGCAGTGTTTCATACATAGTAGTGCTCCAGCAATTAGTGGTTGATTTAAATGTCAGTGGTCAGTTGTAACTGGAGAGAGACCTAAATAATGACGGTATTCTGGATGTATAGGAAGAGAACATGGAGCGCGAGACTTAGGCCTTTTGGTTCAGGCACAGAGGAGCTGGAGGAGGGACTGAGTGTCTCCATACAGGAGAACTGTCCCAAATGAACTGTTGGCTTATTCCCAGAAGTTCCTTATAACCTACTTATTGAAAGAAGCTAGGTTTTCTAGCATAAATCAGTGGGACTACATCAAACTAAAAAAGCTCTGTACAGGAAAAGAAACCATCAACAAATGGGAAAGATATTTGCAAACCATGTATCTGATAAGGAGTGAATATCCAAAATATATAAAGAAATCGTACACTCAGTAGCAAAAAAACCCAAGCCAACTAAAAACTGGGCAAAGGACATGAATAGATATTTCTGCAAAGAAAATACAGGAAAGGCCTACTAGGTACATGAAAAGAGTTCAACATCACTGGTCCTTAAGGAAATGCAAATTAAAACGACAATGAGATATTACCTTACACATGTTAGAATGGCCATCATCAAAAAGACAAGACATAAGTGTTGGTGTGGATGTGGAGGAAAGGGAAACCTTGTGCACTGGGGGTGAGAATTTAAATGGGTACGGCCACAGTGGAAAATAGTCTGGAGGAGTCTCAAAAAATTAAAAATAAAACAGCCATATGACCCAGCGACTCCACCTCTGGGAATATATCCAAAGGAAATGAAAACACTAATTTGAAAATGTGTCTGCACCCCCTTGTTCGTAGCAGCATTGTTTACGACAGCCAAGACATGGAAACAGCCATCAATCAATGAATGGATAAAGAAGCTGTGAGATACACACACACACACACTGCAGTGGAATATTATTCAGCCATAAAATGGCAGTCTTACCATTTGTGACAATAGGGATGGAACTACAAGGCATTATGCTAAGTGAGATAAGTCAGAAAGAAAATACTGAATGATCTCACTTCTGTGGGGGCTCTGAAAAACCCCACCAAACTCAGAGGAAAAGAGATTAGATTTGTGGTTACCAGAGGTGGGGGGAGGGGAAATTGGAGGAAGGTAGTCAAAATATACAAACCTACACTTACAGGTCCTAGGGATGTGATGTACAGCATGAGCACTACAGCTCACAAAGTTGTTGGGAGAGTAGACCCTAAGAGCTGTCATCACGAGGAGAATTTTTTTTCTTTTTATTGTGTGGTAATCATTTCAAATATACATAAGCCAAACTGTCATACTGTATGTTTTAAACTTACATATAGTGATATATGGCAATTATTTCTCAATAAGACTGCGGAAAAAACCATTTTTTTTTGAGGGAGGAGAATAGATGTGAGAGCTTTAGTAATTCATTCCTTTTCTCTTTCCTAGTTCATTTTATCTATGGGCCATTGGATCCCGTAAATCCCTATCCAGAGTTTTTGGACCTGTACAGGTGAGTCTCCCTCAGGGGTCTTTGTTTTGTTCCTCATGGTGACAGTGGTGAACAGGTTAGCCACTGTCTCTGCCCTCGCTGGCTGTTCATCCAGGAAACATATTAGAAAAGGATGAACTGGGGAGTCTTCTTTTCAGAAATGTAAAGATGAAAAAACTCAGTTATACGTTGTCTTGATTTATTAGGCCTGTTTTCACTGTCATGGTTACTACATATTCCTAGGTGTACAGGTAAGAAAAAGCTATCATGTGAACCACGGAGTGAAATACATTTATTTTAAGAAATGTTTGCTTTAGTTTGATCATAAAGCTAACTCCTCCACCTCAGCTGAGCAGACGAGTGCACTATGGAAAAGTGCCTTCTCATCGGTTATTTTCTCTAGGTACTTACTCAGAAGGTGTTGGAATATGAAATCTTGACTATGTCACATAAGACTGTCCCATACCTTCACTTGGCCTAGCAGAAACAACCCAGTAGTAAATAGTGTGCATTTAACTAAACAAAATGCCTTCCCCTCATCCACTCCCAGGGTTAAGGACGGTCTGTTGTTATGTTTACTTGGACAGGGAGTTGCTGAGTGGCCCACTTGTTTGATGCCTCATGCTTCTCTAAGGAGCTGGAAGTCATCCTGCTTGGGCAGGTGCTGCAAAGTGTTATATGCTCAGGTTGTTGTCTGTTGGATTATGAACATTTAAGAACTAGTCTGTTTATGTCGTAAATGGAACTGGCAAGTTTATCTGCCTAAGATACAATTCCAAAGTAGAAGGTGAATAAGCTCTTTGTTGGTTCCTTCCAGTGTGGTATGTCCACAAGAGCCTTAACCGGGGCTGCCCACTGGCTTGCATCCGTCCTCTCCCTCCAGCCTTAAGTTCACCTACATGCTGTTCTCTTCCACTAGGAAAACGCTGCCGCGGTCCACAGTGTCGATTCTGGATGACCACATTAGCCACTATCCACAGCTAGAGGATCCCATGGGCTTCTTGAATGCATATATGGGCTTCATCAACTCCTTCTGAGCTGGAAAGAGTAGCTCCCCTGTATTACCTCCCCTACTCCCGTATTTGTTGTGTATTCCACTTAGGAAGAAATGCCCAAAAGAGGTCCTGGCCACCAAACACTATTCTCTCACAAAAGTCCACCTGATGCACATCGGTGATCAGCATATAGTAAAAAGCCCGCAGAAGCTCCCGTTAAGGATGGCCCTAACAGTCCACCTCCCATTCTTCTCACATCTGAGCAAGTGTATGGACTTGCCTTTGCGCTATTAGGAATTTCTTAAAAGTCTTAACACTTCTATGGACTTTTCTGAAATACCTAGAAATGCTCATTTCTGGCCTATCCTTGACCGGAGTCCTAAAGTAAAGCATGAGGAGAGGGTGTCTCCTGACCTGTCCTTGAATGGCTTTAAGGGCACATGCGTTTTTAAGTTCTCTAAGCAACACAGCTTCAAGTGAGAGTGAGTCTCCCTTGTAATAACTTGGGATTTCATTTCATCAGCTGCTTTTAATTATAAACATTTTGTTAACATAGGTTTTGGTTTGAATAATGCAGTATTCTAAGTATACTTTAAGACTATGATTTACCTACATGTATTATATGTATTTTCTAAGGATACTAAACCAGCAGATACTCTGGCAGAGTAGTGAACCTTATTAAACAGGTTTAATTTCTGAATACACACTGAATTAAATTCAGACTATTTACAGAAGTTCCTAAAATCATAGGATACTAAAGACCAGTAGCATCCGTGCCAGAGATTTACTGTTATTAGCTAACTCTGACAGCGAGTAACAGTCTGACTCTTCATACCTCAGTGCTTCGAGGCATGTCCCTCCCGAGCTGGAGGGGAGGGGATCGTTGTATAGTCCAGGTCACCGTACCGAATGTACAGAGATTCCTTTTCTGACGACTGATTAACTTAACTTCTCATTGGTTGTCTCAGAGAGACATCCTCTTGTAGCTCATAATTCCTGTACTTTACAGACAGGAAAGTTCCAGAAACTTTATGAACAAATTCTGAAAGACCTATGAGCAAATGGTGCTGAAATTTTTTTTAAGCCACAGCTTCACTGTCTTAGTCGAAACAGGAGGATTAAGTGATTATTTTAAATTTTTTTTTTTATTAGCAACTTCAAGTATAACAACTGAAACTGGAATAAGTGTTTATTTTCTATTAATAAAAATGAATTTTGACAAAAGTGGACTCTGGCTTCCCCTCCCCCACCACCCCTCTGGGATAAAAGCTTTCCAACATTGTCAGGAGCTTTCAGACACACATTAAATTAAAGACTATAATGAGGTTAAGCAGCTGGGGTAGAGGATAGTATTTGATTTGCAAGATCACCCAAAGCTGTACTATCATACCAAGGTTGGCTGAGTGTAATAAAAAAAAAAAAAAAAAAAAAAAAGAAATTTACATGCACAAGGACAGATAGATACTTGCTTGATCTGCTGGCTCAGGGCCAAATATTTAATTTGCTTCTCCAAAGACATTAATCTTTAAAAGTAGGATTCTGGGAAATTCATGCCACCAGCCTAAAAGCCCACTGACAGTGAAGTGTGCATCGACTTCATCTTGCCCAGTAAAAATTTATCCAACAGAAGCTAAGATAACATCTACAGGTGTTCCCTCTTTGCTTCTGACAGTCACCTGCATGGTCACTCCATCTGCTAAGGCCAGCCTGGACCTCACCAATAAGTCATAGCCACCTCTGTATACACCTGAGAGAAAAAAAGCAAGGAAAACTAGATTAAGAACTCAAAACAAGCTCTGAATAATGAAATATGTCATGCTCTGCCTGCATTTCCTTTCTATTATTTTAGCTTTTCTAGAGATCTGTGTTTATGGTGAGAATTGAATCCTGTGTACAAACTTAAGTAATCTTTTGTATACCCATGATACCAGGCACATAGAAGGTATTCAGTAGTACTGATCTGGAGTACTCAGAGGCAGGTGGCATTGGTATCTGCGGGAGAGATTTAAGGGTTTTAAAAACAAAAACAGCCTAAGGATAGCCTGCAAATAATTAAACAGCTAAAACAAATTATTCACATTGACAGGGCTGCAAATTGTGACTCCTATGACGGGATAACGGATAGTAGCAGGGCCTGTGCACACCCCTTCCTATCTTGCGACCAAACAAAGGGGGAATCTGATGGTGGTTTCTTACCTGCCAGATAGAGGGAATGGGAATTCTTGTTCTCCGGTACTTTGTCCGACCTCTCACATGGCTGCATGCCCAGAAAGGTGGTGATGTTGTTGACAGCTTCTGTGTTGAGAAGACAGATGCAACTGTATCAGGAAAGCTCAGCCTAGGGGTCTGCCTCCGTCCCAGCAGGTGCTGAGGAGGGAAGCCACCAGACTAGAACCTGGTTGACTCAATTAGATGATGAAGACAGGATCCTGGCCTTTTCAGCAAAATAGTTTATGAAATGTTTAAAGAAAAGAGATACTCTGGAATAATAAATATGCCCATTAGGTTTTATCCTGCAATACACCGATAGCAAAATTGTTCTCACCTTCGAGAGTTTTGGTAGAACTGAGGGCAAAGGTCTCCTCTTTCTCAAAGGTGTCTCCCACCTCTTCCCAGGCAGCAGCAAAATTAGGCTTCAGTACTTTCTGAATGTGGTCAGACACAGTCACTTCAAGATCTTCCAGCTAGTAGGTAACAAGCAGGGGTCAGTAAAGTCCTTCAGTACACCACAAGGACAGAAGGGACTGATTAGAATGGTTTTATCATTTGGTGTTCTGTCCTTTGCAGGAGCATAGGAAAAAGTTTACCACCAAAGTAGTTTAAGTTCTGTGGTCTAGATAGATCTAACGATGTAGGCCTTAGCAAAGGAAAGCAAGAAAACAGGACATCTGGCAAGGGCTATATTCAGATCACCACCTATAACCCTGGGGTATAAAGTAGTCATGCTGCCATACCTAACCTTCGTGTTCGGGCCAGACAGGGCCTCTGAACATCACATTCACTCACAGCCTGATACTGGTTCAACTTTTCCCTGCATTTTGTGAAGGCTTTTTCAGTCCATCATGGGACTACATTAGAAGCAAACTAAACGCGGCTAAATAAAAACAGAAAAAAACCCAATACTTCAAATAAAACTCATTGATCTCCATGAAAATCATGTAATTGTTTCATCTCTTAATCATCCCTATTATAAAGACATCAAAAAGTGAGTTTTGTTTTAATCGGTCATTAAGTGGTAAATCCCAGTTCTCTTGGGCATGACACACTCCTCTCACAGAGGAGGATCTGTCCAGGTCCTCCTCAGTTGTGATCTGTTTGGGAAGAATAAGCCCCTAAGTTCATGTCCGATGTCGCTAGCAGCGTGGTCTCTGCAGGCAGAAGTCACTCGATGGTGCAAGGGCGTCAGAGTGCATGTCCGTGTGGGGGAGACTCACCACGTACTCATCATCATACCCCTCCTCAGCTGGAACCCCAGTGTCAGGGTCGCAGTCCCGGACCGTAAACTTCATGGTGCAGCTGAAGGTGCCTGCAACTGGGGCAGAAAGGGCAGGCGAGCCTGGGTCAGGGCCGGGGCAGGCACGGAGCCCCCGCCCGAGGCGCAGAGAGCCCCGTCTGCACACGGCGCTGCGTTCTGTACCGTCAAGCAGAACACACGCAGCCTCTGCTTCCTAGGGTGGTAGCTCCAGAGCCTGGGGCTGGCCGACAAGGCAGTCTCACAAAATCACTTTAAAAACCATCCCCCACCGTGGGTTAGAATAGCACAGAAAAGACGACATGGGCAACACCGTTTTCGTATTTGTATGAAGCAAGCAGCAGGGGAGAGAACTTTGGGGGCTTTTTGCCATGCCTGTCAAGAGTCTACATGTTGAAAAATGTAAGAACCATTACTTTTAGGAGCTGACAGAGCAGAGCAAAAAAAAACAAAAACAAAAACCCAAAAAGCACACAGGTCATTAAATTAACACTAAGTACATCAAGAGTCTCAATATCAATATTTTATCTTTAGACTGGACTGACAGTGGGTCCACAGGCCACCAGAATGAATGTGCTTTATGTCAACTTTCAACCTACAGTGAGGAGGTCAGTAGTGAGGTTCTGGCATTGGTATAGTCACTGTCTTAAAATGGAAAAGCAAGTGAGCCTCATTGTTTGGGGATGACCGGTAGAATAAGGAAGAAATGGCGATCGGGGATACATTTTTGGAAAGGGAAGTCTTCATGAAGAAGATGAGATTTTCTGAACTGTTGGAAGGAAGGGATTTATTAAGTGTGGGTGAAGAAAAGGCATTTAGGATCAGGTACAAAACATACTAGAAGTTGGGGAGTAAGAGTCATCTGGGCGATAGGAAGGACAGGGAAGAACAGACTCCGACGTAAAGACCGTATATGACAAGCTGGGTAATGGGACTTTCATCGGCTCAGTCTCAACTTTAAGCTGCCTCCCTCCCTCCTTCTGGCCAAGTATGTGGTCAGTGGCAGTACGTGTTGACAGTGGACATGCAGACATTAAATCTAATGTGTCAGATCCTTAGGTAAAAAGATGACTGGGACATGACTGCTGTCTCCAAGAGCGATTGTCTAGGAGTTAAATAGGAGTGTGTGTGTGTGTGTGTGTGTGTGTGTGTGTGTGTGTGTGTGTGTGTG